GGAATGTTGTAAGTTCAAAGCCAACTTGGACTATATAGCATCACACACACACACACACACACACACACACACACACACACACACACAGCACTTATTGTCAAAAAAAGAACACAATCCAAGAACAAAACAGATTGCTTTAAATAAAGTTCATTTATGTACATTAAAACATGCATATTCTACTGGCCAGCTATTTTTGAGGATGACTCCTCAATATATATCTGAAGACTTTTAAGAAAATGTCTGCAACAAAACAACAACAAAAAAAAATCAACAACAACAACAACAAAATGTCTGTAATGCCCTTCCCATATTAAAACTAGAAAGCAATCCTAATGGTCATCTAGTATAAAAGGAACAAACACAAGTTGGGCATACTCATGTGATGAAATAAAATAGCAGTCAGACACCTGCACCATGATTCAGGTTGGAGACTTTAACAACTGTATATAAATGTCTGTTTGTTGTTTCCTTTCTTGTAAGACATAATTTGTTGTGATTTAAAACAATATTTTAAAAATGATTTTGACCCTAAAAAAAAAAAAAAAAATAGCAGTCAGATCAATGAACAAAGCTGCTTTCGAAAATATGAATCTTAACAGGGACTGGTTGAAAAAAATTAAATGAAACCTAGAACACAGAGGTGAAGGCTCCATGCATGCACAAGCTCGCCCTCTCTATGTACAATGAGCTATGTGGATGTTGTACTTGACAATGAGGCCCAGCTGTCAGTTTTTGGAGAGGCTTTCTCTGGCAACAGATGGAAGTGAGTGCAAAGACCCCACAGCCAGAGATAATGCAGAGAGTGTCTAAATTGGAGGTCTTCATAGGGTCCTGGCCCTCAGAGCTCAGGGAACCCCATGGAAGAAAGGAAGGGAAGATTCTGGGAATCAGAGGGGATGGAGGACACCAGGGACACAAGGCCCACCAAATCAGCTAAGCAGAGACCAAAGTAGGAAGCACAAGGCCTGCCTGGATCTAGAGCAGGTTCTTTGTGTATGTATTATGCCTGTTAGATTGGTGTTTTTGTAGGACTCCTCAAAGTGGGAGCAGGTGTTTCTCTGACTTTTTGCCTGCTCTTAGGGCTCTTTTCCTTCTATTGGGCTGCTTTGTCTAGCCTCAGTCTGAGGACTTTTGTATTGCCTTATTGTATCCTGTTTTGTCATTCTCTCTTGGTGTCCTGCTCTTTTGTGAAGGGAAACAGAGGGGGAATGGATCTGGGGAGGGGGAGAGGGAAGAGTGGAGGTGGGAGGAGTAGAGGGAGGGGAAACTGGTCAGGATGTATTGTATGAAAGAAGAATCTATTTTCAGTAAAAAAAAAGTTAGAACACTTTATTTTTAAGAAGTAATTACAGTCATATCCAAGGTAATACAAATTCAAAACATCAGAAGCATGTAATCAAAAATCAAATAAAAGTATTTAATAGAAAAATTTACATGAAGAAGATGTTTCAATGGACACCCCAAGATTTTGGAAATGGTGGCACCCTGGAATATAAGCTGCACGCACTGAGTGGGGCCACTCCCCAGAGTGTGCTCCTTGTGCTGTTAGGGTAAATCCATACAAAGGTCTGGTCAGAACCACCAGAGCTCAGGTGATGATACTGAATGCTCTGGATGCTGGGCATAGAGAGCTTGAGTAAGTTTTCGCTCTTATTTTCATTCAGTTAGTTCCCTGTTTTGTCTCCATTCATTCCTTTAGCATTGTATGATGGGTGTATGTATCTTGCATTTTGTCTTTACAGGGCTTATTGATAAAAATTGTACCTGAGTCTTAGAAGAAACTTAGGAATGGTGATAAAGCTTTTAAAACCATATATGGAGGAACAAAGGACCCATAAATAAATATTCTCAGCAATGGAGACCTAAACTGTTACAAAGGTATAAAAGCCTAAAGTACAGGGTCAACAGTTTCTAGGAAAAATTAAGCAACAGAAAACAAATTATTCAATTAATAAATAGTCTAAAGAACAGGGTCAGCAGTTCTCAAAGAAGTTCACAAAATCACAACAAATATTTGAAAATATTCAACCCCTAAGTCATTAGAAAAGTGCAAATTAATACTACTCTGAGATTCCCTCTCACTCCATTCCGAATGACTATTATCAAGAAAACTAAAAAAATGCAGATGAGGATAAGGAGAGATGATGAATCCTTGTATTCTACTGGTGAGGATATAAACTAGTTCATCCACTGTGAAAGTCAGTATGAAGTTTCCTCAAAAAAAAAAGAAGAAAAAAACCTAAAAATATAACTACTACATCACCCAGCTGTGTCATCCCTAAGTTTATAGCTGAAGGACTCTAAGTCAATATGCTTTGGAGTTACTTGTATACCCACATTTATCACTGTACTAGTAAGCATAATCCAGGGGAGCATCCAAACTAGGTGCCCATTGACACATAAATAGAAAAGGAAAATGTGGCAATACACACAATGGAATTTTATTCAGCTAAAAGGAACAATGCAATCATGACATATGTAGTAAAATAGTGTCATCATTATGTCAAATGAAATAAGCCAGAGAAAGTCTCCTATCGTTTCTCTTACAAGTAGACTTTAGATTTAAATTTATATAAAGATGTATTCATATGCACTTATACCTATGACATGAAAGTGGAAAGGACACTGTGAGAAAGGAAGAAGAGATGTGGAGGGATGGAAAAGGCATATGAGAAATGATAATAGAGTATGAGTCATGTAATTAAAGGACTAGTCATAGATAAACAGAAACCAGTAAGAGGGAGAGGGGCAAAAGATCATAGTGTGATGGTGTATATGTATGAAATGTCACAATGCAACACTGAACTGTATGTTTAAAATTAACTTAAAAAGAGAAATAGATCAAAACCACAATGAAATATCATTTCAAATCCACTATTATAAGAAACACAAAAGATGATAAATACTGGGGAGGATGTGGGGAGAAGGGAACTCTCATACAGTGTTAGTGAGAATATAAATTAATGTAACTACCAAAAATAGGCTATTTCTTCAATAAATATGTAAATCAAACTATGGAATCTTGAAGTTGGGCTGAATTCATTTTGCATTGTGAGATGGTCATGAGCTTATGGGGGCCAATAGTTGAATGTTGTTAACTGAGTGTATGAAATGTCCTTAGCTGTTAGGTAATGAACTGTTTTGGGAGGTTTTAGAGCCTTTATAATTTGGGAACTGGCTGGACATAGTTGATCGCTGTGGAATGAATGGCCTTTGAAGCTTATTGTCTGATATGGCTTCTGGTCCTGTCCTCTGTTTCCTAGTGTGAGAATCTATATATGATGGTTTCAATGAGAATGGTCCCCATGGATCTTATGTTTGGATTCTTGGTCCTCAGTTGGTGGAACTGTTTGGGAGGGATTAGAAATGTGGTTTTGTTGGAGGAGGTTTGTCTCTGAGGGTGAGCTTTGAGATTTCAAAGACTTGTAGGCATTCCCAGTTTTCTCTCTCTGCCTCCTACTCATTTGAGA